GGATGATTGCTTTGTTTTTATGTTCCTTGTTATCATATATTGTAGGTAGATCTCCCAAAACACATATGAAAGCATGTTTTTCTCCATCGGCAAAAGCCTCTAAGTACGCTTGAGATACTTCATCTCTTTGTATCATTTTCATTCTTTGTTTACTGAAGAGGTTACCTGCTACTGATTTCATTTCACTTGTTGCAGCAAGCAAAAATTAAGGTATATTTGCTTGGAATAAAATGACATTTGCATATGTATTTTTCTGTGTGATTTCAGTTTATATATTTTTTTTAATCCTTGATGTTAAGGTTGTCTAGTGGGAGGGAAGATTGACAAGTACCCTGAATTCCTTGCCCTCTTGTCAGTGCCGATTAAAGATTTGTGGATTCTACCTTGTACAAACAGTATGTCACCGTGTCCTTTTTATTTTACTTTTACAACGGTTTCCTTGCAGTCTTACACAACTCGATAAAGTGTTCTAGTCTGATGCCAATAAATTTTGAAAGTCTTGGCTTCATGTCACTGCCCTAGTTTGTTACTGCAGCAGAAAAGGCCTTTTTTGTTTGTTATAATGGATTTCTTACGCATCCTATTAAATTGGTTTTGTACATGCAGATAGTTAGCTTTTCAAATGCCAAATTTCCGCCTTTTCTGTTTGAAGAGGAGAAGCTGCTATTTATATTCATCATATCGACTGGATGGATGCTGCTATACATGGGAAATTGGGAATCTATGTGTAATCTAAATGTGAAAGGCTTTCATGGGCTAAACAGAGAAACTTTGGTTCGGAATAGTTCCTCTCACCTATTTTGGTATGCAAAAAACTGTATTTCTTTCGAAATCAATACTTTGGTTATGGAATTGTTAGATCTTTTATATGTCCCAATACAATTGTTCTTAGATATAATGTTTAGACTTAGATAGTATTAGTAATTGATACGTAGGCCTTGTGGATTAGAGGTGGTGGTTTATGTTTTTTTTTTTTCATTTTTTTGAAGTGAAATGGATCTTTCTTTTGTAAATTTGCATTAAGATATGTTAATTTGATTATTTGGAGAAAAGTGAATCTGGCTCATGTTCTACTGTAGGGGTATTGTTCATGAAATGCAAACTGGCTAATTACCAATTTTGTTTTTTAATATTCTTGGTCACCAAAATATATACTTGTCTTTAATTTGGTCACAAAATTATGATAATAAAAACCAAAAAACTTGTCTCAAATTTGGTCACCATAATATAAAATAAAGACCAAACAACTCGTCTCTAACTTGGTCGTCAAAATTTAAAATAAAGACCAAACAGATCGTCTCTAACTTGGTCACCAAAATATAAAACAAAGACCAAACAACTCGTCTCAAATTTTGTCACCATAATATGAAACAAAGACTAATGCTCGTCAGTAATTTGGTCACCAAGCACATTTTTTCTTTCTTTTAAATTAATATTTTTGTGACGCCATTATTGGTCACTCCAATGGTGGTCCCAGATTCAAATTAATGACCAAACATTTTGGTCACTTGTTTGGTCACCGAAATTTAGTTGCCCGGGCTGCCCAGCAAGGTTTGGTGACCAATAGTCATATAGTGACCAACTTGTAGAGCGACCCCGATTTTAGTGACGAGATCGAAAAAGTTGGTCAGCAAAGCCTTAAACGAGGCTTTATAGACGGCTAGGGGACGGAAGCAAAATTGGTCACCAAAGGTCTTTGATGACGAACCCTCGTCACCAAAGACTATTTTAATGACCAGAATGTGTTGGTCACGAAAGCCCTTTTTTTGTAGTGCCACTTGTTTTCCACAAACTCTGATTTCACCTTGTTCTTCAGTTTGACAAGTTGTTTCCAGTGCCAGCTGGAATCATTTTTGGCTTCAATCTCCCAGAAATCTTTCTTTTTTATGTATACCTAATGGATCCATTTGATCCATAAGTTATCCTCCTTACGTGCCAAGTTCCAGACTTGCTTCAACAGTGCTGCTTTATTCTACCATCTAGCACCTTTTACACTCTCACCCCCCTACTTCTTGGGTTTACAGATTTGATCCAAGCTAACCCAGGCCATGCTTCTCCCTAATTCCCTGGTTCCCCAAAGATAAGTTCTGCAAATTCTATTTATTTGATCAATGATGCTTCGAGGAAGGATAAATGCTGAGGACCAGTAGTTGCTCATCATCAGCAGCATTGAGTTAACCAATTGCAATCTCTCAGCGTAACTCAAGTGCCTAGAGCTCCAGCATTTGATTCTTGCTGAGATTTTTTGTACTAGTATCTCACATTCCAACTGATTCCATTTTCTTGGTGAAATTGGAACACCTAAGTACTTCATTGGGAATTTCCCTTCCCTGAATCTCGTTATGTGACATATATGACTTTTCAACTCTTCATCCACCCCCCCAAAGTAGATGTCGGATTTCAGAAAGTTGGCGACCAAACCTGTAGTTTCAGAGAAGCGATTCAGCATAGCTACTATCTTCTTCATTGTAGGAACATCAGCTTTGCAGAAGATCATAAGATCATCTGCAAAGCATATGTTCGTTAGCTTTAGGGTTTTGCATTGCGGGTGGAACTGGAAATCCTCATGTTCTGTTGCTTCTTTCAGGAGTCTAGTTAGATATTCCAACGAGGGCAAACAATAGGGGAGACAAGGGGTCTCCCTGTCTTAAACCCCGTTGCCCTTTGAAGAATCCACTAAGCTCCCCATTCAAGTTTATGGAATATGAGGTAGTTGTCACACACTCTAAGATTCTGTCTGCTGCTGACTCTGGAAACCATATCCCCTTAGCATTTCAGTCACAAAACTCCACTTAACCAAGTCATACGCCTTTCGTAAGTTGATCTTCATCAAGCGTCTGCCACTGATTGTCTTTCTACCATATAGACGAATCAGATCCTGTGTAATTAGGATATTATGTAGTATTAGCCTTCCACTGACAAAAGCACTCTATTTGTGTCCATTATACTTGGGAGGATGCATTTCAGCCTTTCACAGATGACCTTAGATATGCATTTATAGACCACGTTGCAGCATGCAATGGGTCTATATTCCGATGCATTCTGAGGGTTCTCCGTTTTGGGAACTAATGCCAAGACTGTGGAGTTAACTTGTTTCAGTAGCCTACCTGTTTCAAAAAACTCCATCACAGCTCCAACAACATCCCTCTGTACAATCTTCCAAGCTCCTTTGTAAAACCCGCTGCCGTATCTGTCAGGACCAGGGCTTTTGCAGCTGTGAATTGACCACATGGCCTTCTTGATTTCCTATTCTGAGACTGGCTTAAGTAAACAGAGTTGTTGTTGCCATGTTAAAGTAGCCCCCCTCTGGAAGACATCTAATTGAGATACCTTACATGAATTTTTCTGCCCTAGTTGACCTTTAAAAAAGTCAATGAAGTGTTGTCAAACTCTATCCCAACCTCTGATCAGCTCACCATCCTCCATGATGTAACAAATTTGATTATATGCAACCTTGATTTTCATTCTTGCATGAAAATATGCATTGTTGAAATCTCCTTTTTTGATCTAGAGCTCTTTTGTCTTTTGCTGCAGGTAACTTTCCGCTGCTTTACTGATCATAAAAAATTTCTTCCTGGCTTCCTTCTCCCTTTTTTGCAGCTGTTCATCCTCAGGTTGCTGGTGTACCATCTGTTGTATGCCATTCAGTTCTTCTGCTGCTGCCAACTCTTGTTGCTGAATATTAGAGAATTCCCTTCTATTCAACTTTTTCAGGGCTGGTTTGAGCCTTTTAAGTTTGCTAGCCAGTTGATACATCTTGGTCCCCCGTATCTCCTCCTTCTAATCCTCTTCTACTATTTGGTGGAACCTCTCATTCAAACACCTCATGTTAAAAAATTTAAATGACTTGGTCTTATAGGTAACATCATCATCCAGTTGTATAACCAGTGGAGTATAATCTGAGATGTTTTCAGGCACGACAGTAGTGATTGCTCTAGGGAACTTGAGTAACCATTGACCATTGATCATTGCCCTATCAATTCGTGACCATATCCTCCCTTCACCAACCTGCTTATTCGACCAAGTGTATTTGAGGCCCTGTTGCTTCATGTCCTGCCAGCCACATTCTTCCACACATCTTTTAAAACCCTGTATATCTGGCAGAGTTATTTCTTCCCCCCTAGTCTATCTCCTTCATCCAATACGTTGTTGTAGTCTCCCACAACTAACCATGTTTCATTAATAGTTAGTCCAATCTCAATTAGTTTGTCCCATAACTGATCTCTTTCTGATTTTTGGTTCTTTCCATAAACAGCAGTATAGAAAAACCCCTCATTCTTCTCTACCATCTCCACCCAACAGTGAATAAGTTGTTTTTTTTGGCATATAACAGTAACTTTACAAATACCAGGCTGCCAGATGATGCATATCCTACTTCTAGATTGTTTTACATAATTCGCAGTAAATTCATATCCCTTCCAATATTTACTCATCATTTCTAGTATTCTTTCAGCAGTAATTTTTGTTTCTACAATACTCACAATACTAACTTTATGCAATTCACATAATCTAACTAGTTCTTTTTGCTTAACAGGGCTATTAATTAATACCCCGAATATTCCAATGCAAGAACTTAATCATTATTACCTGAATCTGGGGGAGGACCACTCACTGTACTGCATCCCTCCTTCTCCGATGTTGTGTTGCTGATCTTCCTTTTATCTTTGGCATGCCTTGGCTCCTGATTCTCGTCTTCCAGTAAGACATTAAAGCTATTTGGAGTTACAATCACTACCCCTGGCTCCTGTTGATACTGTTTGTGGCGTGGTACCTCAATAGAGTCTGATCCATTTCCTTTTTGTCTTTCCTCCAATTTTTCTCCCCTTCCTGTCTCTTTCCTACTCTTTTCCATTCAGTAGAGTTCTTATTTTTCTCCTGAGGAATTATTGCTTCTGTTTTACCCATTGTTTGGATAGGACCCTTCTTTCGATAATCCTCCATTCCATGTCCAAAAGCTTGCAATGTTGGCATTGGGTGGGTCTCCATTCGTAGTAGACTTGCTACTCAATTAGCTTCCCCGTTTCATCCACAAAGTGAGCTGTTAAAGGTGGATGTTCTTGAATCTCTACTTCTTCCAAAACTCTAGCATAAGCTGCTTTATCTTTCGAAGCTGTTAGGCTGTCAGTTGCAATTGGTTTGCCCAGGTACTGGCAATGCGACTGAGAGTTGCCGGATTTCCAAAATTTGAGCTCTTGGTTATGGAGTTGAATCCAAACTGGGACATGGGTGAGCTCCTTGTAATTGACCCCCTTTTCCACCTTTTAGGGTTTGATGATTACTGGATTATTACCCATGTATTGAATTGGAGCAGTTAGTGCTTCCTCAGCAGCTTCCCGAGTGTAATATCAAATCACATACAACCCTGTTGGAAGTAATACCACTTTATCCACACCTAGGTCTTTCCATAATTTCCGATAGTAACTGTCCATGGCCTTATACGACGATTGCCAATATTCCATTTCCAACTGGACATCCTTTTGTTGAACCATGGCTATCTTTATGCCCTCCAGCTCTTCTGGAGGAACAAAATCTAATGGAACTCCCACATTCCGAAGTTTCTTTACATCAAATTTTTCCCAAGCATTCGCCGGTTGTTTCTGTTCCTCCGGCCACTCCAATTTTCTGGCATTATTGACCCCTAGAATTTCACTCAAACGCTCCGCTTGTTGCTCCAGATTCAATTCATCCTCAGCCCTTGGTGATTTACCTCCCTTCTTCGGTGATTTTGCAACCCCAGATGAAGCCGACTTATTATTCAGATCCAGCTTCTCACCACATGTATTCCTCAATTCAATTAGAGTACCATCTTCCTTTCTGTCTTCACATTCAATTTCGCTACCTTTGGATGCTTTCTTCGCTCTCACTTTGCCCTTCGCCATGGTTGGCGTACGATAGCAGTGATGCTATCGTGCCGAGAGAGAAAGGTGAGAGAGGAGATGTCCACAATGTATCTGTTATTTATTTACTTTTGGAGGAAACCACTAGTATTCCTGTTCCTGTTGGCTGTTGCGCATTTTTCATCACAGTTGCCACCTCCATGGAAATCTTTAAGAAATATGAAAGAAATTTTGGCTGTTGCAGATTTTTCATCACAGTTGCCACCTCCATGGAAATCTTTAAGATATATGAAAGAAATTTTGATCCACAGACACGTTTCGCTCAATTAGGATACTAATAGCTCTCGCAGTAAATTTTAACAGTAACGTAGTTGATACATTACTACATTTACTTTGAATTCTTACAAAAATGGTAATTTTTTTTTACTTATTATTTTTACTGTTTAATCTTTAAGTTTTTCTTGAGGCGGTAATAAGGAAAATATCGGGACAGTAATTAGGACCGTGATCGTCCGGTTTCAATCCCGCGACCATGTCCACCGGCTGATGCCCCAACAAAATAAAAACCGCGGGCAACACGTCTTTAGCAGCTACAGCTGTCAAGATTCATCGGATTTGAATTCTGAATCAATACACTGACATGTTGATGATTAACGGAGCGACGCGAATATGTCTTTTGTCGTTGCCACGGTTGCCGTCGTGCCCTTCTGTCCAGAAATTCCTTCAATATTTGTCACCGCTGCTTGCGCTGCCACCTCCTGTTCCATCTTCCTTCAATGTTGATGATTACTGACGATCATGCCTCCAATTTTATGATGATGCCGGAAGGTGATGATGGATGATGATGATGAAGAGAAGAAGAAGAACGGCGTGCAACTGGAGAGGAGAAGAAAGCTTTAGCCGCGGAAAGAAAGAAGAACAGAAAGAGTGGGTAGGGCTTTTTTTTTTTTAAAGATATTTTTATTACAAAAGGTAATTGAACAAATTTGAATTTTAAAATAGGTAACAAAATACAGTAAAGACAAGAGTAAGATAAGTGTAAGATAAGTGTTATGATAACAACATTAAATGTGATTTATTGTTGAGAATAATAGTACCAAAATTTTAGGATACCTATCAAAGTAACTGATACGCTTAATTGTTATTTAAACAGAAGAATGGAATATGTTATGTGAATGAAATCTCTTTGTTTTAACAATAAAAATCTAAAGATAATTACTAATGAGATTTCCGTAAATAAGGCATCTTTCTCAATAAGGCATTCTCCCACCCTCCAATTTTTTTTTTTTTCTATAAAATAGCAACTCCAATAATCATATCCTTCAACGTAATCCATGGTTTATTTTGCAGGGAAGAACATGTGTGACACAATCCCTCATAATTGATATCTTTATGTCCAGCCCACAACGACGTCGTTCCGTTTGGCAACAGTGACCCTCATTGCACTAGATCGCAGCCGGAGAGAAATTTAGGGCAAAGCGGGCTGCCGTGCCTAAATTAACATCACCGAACAGCAACGGTTTGTGCTCTTTCGATGTTTGAAGTTGAGTTCTAATTTAATTTTGGATTAATTCTTTATCTGCCGATGTGTGGCTTTAATTTGCTAATATATATGCATTATACATGCGGTGATCTATGTTTTTCTTTAAACAAAGCATGAATGATGGTCGTCATACAATAGTCTTGTTTTGCGCGAATGAATAAAGCATCAAAAAAAACTTATGAATTGAATATTTGGCTAATATTTGACTTTGTTAAGTGCATTAATTACCAAAAGCTCAGAATAGCATATGATGGTTATGGATCCAGTTTTGGTTACTCTTGTTTTATCAAAATTGAGCTGATGTACCTTAATGATTAATATATTCTGGACAAATTTTGGGGTAAGTTGCGGTTTTTTTTCTTGCTCCAATTAAACTCCGGCGCAAACAATTTTTTTTGTACCTTCTTTCGGTGGGTTATTCATATTGTGCATATGAATTCACTTTGAGTTGATAAGCAGTTAAGCCGCATGTTTTTTTTTTTTTTTTCTCTGGTTAGCCGAAAGTTTTTGGTTAATAGCGGCTGCTGCAATTTTTTTTTTTTTTTTTTGTGGCCGAAAGATTCTGTTTTCAAAGTTTTTTTTTTTGTTTTTTTGTTTTTTTTGGGTTTTCGCATGACCAGTTTCTTTTGTGAAAAAAAATGATTAATCAGTCATGGATTGTGATTTTTTTTTTGAAGCAAATCTTTTTGAGTATATTTTTTTTTTATAAAAAAAACCTGTTTGTCTAAAATTTTTGTTGTTCGAATTGACAAAAAAAAAAATAAAAAATTGAATACTATGTGTTTGTCAAGTTTTTCTTTCGGTGGCGGCGGCGCCAGGAACATTTTCTTGGTTTAGCGATAAATGAGTAGTTCTGCACTTCTGCTATCGCATGCTTAGTTTTAATTTTTTTTCTTTCTTTTGTGCACAACGTGTATTTGTCCACAATTTTTTAAACTAATTAATTACCCGAATTGGTTAATCTTTTTAAGTAGGAGAAATGAAAACCTTCAGATTTATCCCAAAGGTTTGATCCCGAAAGGTTTCAGTTTTTTGTTTTTTTTTTTTTTGTTTTTGTTTTTGTTTGGTTTACTAATTTCATGTTTCCTGGAAGTCACACACTGTCTTTTACTATTAAGTTGCTTTCCCTTTTTTTTTTTAAAAAAAATTGGTAGAATACCCCCAAATATAATCTCAAGTAAACCATTTACTATTAAGATTGATATTTTTTTGGTTAATATGGATTTTGAGTTCTAATTGGGATGAAGAAACGACCGCACCAATAGGTACGGTTTTTTTTTTCCCTTTATTTGTTGTAATTTTTTCATTGCTAATTATTTTTTTCCCTTTCTCTGGCTTTTTTTTTTTTGTTTTTGTTTTTTCAGAATGGGCCATCTATGAAAGAAAATCAGCACGTTTCTTGGAAAGATGAAAGTCAACGATGCTTAGGATGTACGTTTTTTTTTTTTTTTGGTAGACGTTTGTTCAATGAAGGTCAGATCTTTGGTGTGTAACAAAAATTTATGTCAAATTATCATTGAATGTGTAAGATGTGGACTATTGTTACAAGTAGATTTATGGGTCTTTTGGTGAATAAATTGAAGAAATATGGCAAACATGAAGGAATGGAGTTCAAACTTAATACAATATGATTAGAACGTTTATGTATAGAATACCTATCTATTGTTGGTGGGTCTTTAGCTATCCGTGCAAGTAGATGCCGCAAGAAAATTAATATCGGAATTGATGCTGAATCAAATCCGAGACATGTTGATGATTAATGGAGCTTTCACTATGGAGGCCACCATTGTTTCTGCATAACGTCAATGATGAAGTTGCTGAATTCCATTAAAAAAATCCTCTAAAAAAATACCAAATAAGGAGCAGATTAACAACACCAGTAGGTAAGGACATATATAAAGATTCTCTTTGGTCTATTAAAGTCTGTCTTTTGGCCTTGCCACGATCGCCGATCGCCGTCGTGCCTTTCTGTTTAGATTTCATCCGCCCAAGAAACTCACCGGATCGTGTTTATTTTCGCTCATCGCTGTACTGGAGGATCAAAACCAAATTCGGTTCAGGGTAATCTGCAATCGAATCAATGATAAGTTTGGGTAATCTGCTAATGCTGAAAATTTTGGGATTAGTTTCTTGACATGTTGGATAATGCGCGGAATCAATATTGAAAATTGGATTTGATCATATACATTTCAAGTTTGAATTTAATTCTTATCACATCACTTATATGAGATAATTCCATAAATAGAGGAGATCGTTATCATTAATGGCAAAATCCTTCCTTTAATATACCTCTTATCGTATTTCTTGATGAACCAGACACCTTAATTAAAGGACTTTAAACAAGAATCAAAATTTTGAACTCCTAATAAATTAGGCGGGATAAAGGCATGAGTTTCCAAAATTGTATATCATTCATGTTGATTGTCTCAAATGACGGCTGTTATATGAAGCAAACCCGTAGCAATCAATTCGATTTTGAACGTCACTGCAAATACACCTTTTTCTGGGAAATTATATACTGATGATTACTGATTACTTATTACTTTAGGAAATTATATAGATCATTTTAATGATTAATTTAGGCGGGATAAGTAAGCGCGGGATTTTTACATAATTACTGATTACTTTAGGAAGTTATATAGATCATTTTTGAAATTTGAATCCAAAGATATTTTGTTTACTCCCATTAATAATTTCACTTCCTTTTATTTTGCTCCCATTAAATAATTTAATTTTTTAAATATGGCCTGGTATTAAAAACAGATTCTCATCTATAATAGTTCCTACTTTGAAAATTTGTTTTAAAGATTTATTCTAATAATTTAAATAAAGAAACTACCGAATATTAAATGTTGTGAAATTTAAAATTTAAATAAAAAAATGGAAAAGATTTACACATATCCCTTCATAGCTAAATTTGAAATAAATTATTGAAAATAATGCTTGTTAGGTGAGATATCCACCTTAATCCCCGAGATTTAATATTTTATTTTTTTAAAAAAGAAAATACATCCCAAAACACAACATTTAATATGGTTGTTTGTAGTAATTCTCAACAAACAATCACTCACAAACTAATCCTCCCTATATTTTCTGTTCCAACCCTGGGAACAAATCATTTGCAAATCACTAAATCTTCTAGCTTTTTAATTTATTTACTCTTTTTTGGTAGTTTAATTGATTCCGTCTGCATAATCATGCGTTTTTCATCCATCTTCATAATCAATCGATGTTCATCTCCTTCAAATCCGTTCGGATCTCTCATAGACTTTGGATATCTTCATCAAATCTGGTAAGGCCAACATCTGCATTTTTTTTTCGTCAAATCCGTTTCTAATTTTTGCTTTTGTCTTAATTTTATTTTTTATATGGTTTACTAATCATCTTTATCTGTTTTGATGATTTAATTAGTAGAATGCCGTGCAGAAATTTACGAAGGGAGGCAATCGCAAGCTAATGCAGATGGTGAAAGGCGTTGTAACTTTAGGGTTGATTCCGA